TCGGCAGCCGGGATTCCTGGCACTGGCTGGAGCAGCTTCCCGCGGGGGATGGCGGCAGGTGAGCAGCCCCGAGCCGGGCTGGGGGTGACAATCTGAGCCATGGGGGTGTCTGTCGTGATGTGCTCATCCCAAAGACCCCAGATGCGGGGAGGATGCTCCCACATCCGCCGGAAAGGAGGGTGTAGCGAGGTGGGGGTTGGTCTCTTCTCCCCAGTAACAGGCGATAGGAGAAGAGGAGATGGCCTTGAGTTACACCAGGGGAGGTATAGATTGGATATTAGGAAAAATTTCTTCACTGAAAGGGTTATCAAACATTGGAACAGGCTGCCCAGCAAAGTGGTGGAATCACTGTCCCTGGAGGTGTTTAAAAGATGGGTGGACGTGGTGCTGAGGGACACGGTTTAGTGGTAGACTCGGCAGTGTGAGGTCGGTGGTTGGACTCGATGGTCTTAAAGGTCCCGTCCAACCCAGATGATTCCATGATTCTGTGCTCAGCCCTGAGCTGCTTCCCCTCTCCCCACCCAGGCCGACCCCTCTCTCCATCAGCATCCAGAAAGCCGGCGGCTGTGAGAAGACGCGGACGGCGCAGGGCCGCGGGCGGTCCTTCCTGCGCTTGGCTCTGCAGGGGAAGGTGCTGGCAGCGGCCGTGCGGCAGCTGGCACAGACCCCCCGGCTCCTGGAGGTGCAGCAGACGGCGGGGAGCCCCGCTACCCACGGGCGATGGGCAGCCAAACGGCCCCGTAATGGTGATGTTTCTCTGTGTTTCAGTTTTATGATCCGGTGAGCTCCATCCTTGGCAATGAAGACCTCCTGGGTAAGACGGTGGCTCCTCCGAGGCGGGATGTAACCTGCCCCGGGGGTGGCTGTCACAGGCGTTATGGCACTGCGCCGCTGCTGTCGGGGAAGGGGAGGAAAATAGTCCAATATAATTTTTCTGAGTCAAAATTAGCGATAAAATCTAAATATGCTGCTGCAGTGATGGAAAAAGAGGTGCAAATATTTAAACACGGTTTGAATCCATCTAAGGTTTGATTTAGTCTCATGGGACAGGAAAATTGGTTCTGAAGTGTTTTCCGTGTTGCTTCTTTGGACCAGGGATGCTGGTTTAAGCAGACCCGGCAGTCTGGCTTCGAGGGGAGCCCTTGGTGTCTGCGCCCAGGCTGTGGTCCCACGCGAAGGGTCCCGCGGGGGGTTCGGTGCGGTAAACGGCTGCGTTGCCTCGCCAGGCTGCACCACTCTGTCCGCAGCCGTGCTCCTTGCCGGGGTGGGGGTGGGCAGGCCAGGGTGAAAGCCTTTAATCTTTTCATTATGATAAATAACCCCATGTTAAACCTGTACCTAGGTGGCTTGTAAATCATCCGCGCTGCCGGCGCGTGAGCAGATTGCAGATCTCCCTCGGTGTAATTGCAAGGCTCGTGCGGGGGAGCCTGAGCAGCTTTGCTTCACGTTTCGGGGGAGAAATGGAGAGAAAGTTGCTCGTCAGCAGCGTTTGCTGCAAAGCTTGGTCTGAATTTGGGGAAATGGGGTCTTCAGCCACAGCACTTCCCTCCCCGTGCCGGCAGTGGGAGACTGGCACAAGCCTCCAGCAGCAGCCTGGGTGCTGCGTGTGGGGATGCTCTCAGGGCCTCGGTCCCCAGGGCTCATTAGTTACACCAAAAATGGTTTTTATTCAGACCTCTGCCATGTCCCCACGAGGCCGTGGCTGCCAGCAACGCGGTGGTGACGCTGCCTCTCTGTCCCCGTCCCTCTGCAGAGCCTTTCCTCTCGCTGCTGCTGGTGGTGGCAGAGATGGATTTCTCCCTGGACCTGCAGGTACGGTGACAAATTGGCGGGGTGGTGGCCGGCACATGGCTGCCAGCACGGGGCCCCGTCCCTTTCCTCGCCAGGACCGATGGCACTGACGCTCCTTTGTTTGCAGAATTGCAGCTTCTTGGACGAAAGCTGGCTGCTGCCGGTAAGAGCTCGTCCATCCCCAGAGCCGTCCTTCCGCCACCTGGCCCTCCCTGAAAAGTCAAATGAGGAAGATAAGGAAGGATTTGGTGGGGAGGGATTGCCGCGCAACTCTCCGCCCGGCCGCAGCGGGGGGTGACTCGGCTCAGGTTCACCAGCACAAGCAGAGCCACCTCTGCCACCGTAGTTGGATCTGGACGGGCGCCTGCGCTGTCACCAGGAGCAGATCCCAACGTTCCTGGGAGTAAAACCAAGCAGGAGTAGTACCCAGGCCTCTATTGCTGACATAAATGAAGTTTTCCCATGCTCCCCTTCCCTGGTTTCTTGCCAAAAAATCCCCATTTCCCTGGGCTGACACAGATTACGCATCAGTTGGTTTCGCTCTTGGTTTTGCTCAGTGAAATATCGGTGCATTTGCTGGGAGCGGCGGGGACGCCTTGATGCCTTCTAAAAATGAAGAGCATCCCTCGGCTGCCTTTTGAACCCAAAAGAATCCCCCAACAAGCTCAAGGCGACTTTGGGGCTGGTTACGGCATGCGCTGAGTCGCACTGCTGCCGCGGAGGCCGGGATCCCGCTGGCCTTTGGGCATTTGTAGCAGCAAGTGCTCCCAGCCGAACTGGCCGCGTTTCGGGTCCCTGACTAATGCGATGTGACAGTAAGTGCTGCTGCAAACGGCAGCGGCTCTGGGGAGGGGTGGCAGCGCTCCCCCGGCTGCGTGGGGACATGTGGGGCAAGGAGGAAGGCTCACCACTGAGTTAAGGGTTCATCTGCTGCTTTGCCATCCCATCCCCCTCTGGCAGGTTTGTCCCTACAGGGTCTGGATACAGCCAAATCCCAGGAGAGGACAGGGACATGCAGCCATTGATGGTCCCAGCCCAGCCTGGGGCATTGACCGGCTTCTCCCTGGGCTCCCGAAGCCCTGGTTTGGCATCAGTGCCAGGAATGATCCGGGGCAAGGGGTCCCCATCCTCCCCCTTGTCCTGGTCACTCTCCTTGGGTGTCCTGTGGCCATTGCCAGGGCCACTGTCACCGTCCACTCTCTTCCAGGTGTGCATCACTTACCAGACGGTCCCGTGCCAAGTGCTGGGGATGGCGCTCAGGTAGGAGCCCTCGATCCTCCTCTCCAGCGGGATCTGGACACCATGGCACTCAAAACCCCTCAAAAAGGGGAAATAAATACCCCATTGAGAGCATCGGGCTGTCTCGGGTGATTTTGTCCCCAGCCTTGCTGGTATCTGCTGGCCATGGGGTGGGTTTTTTCCCTGCCTCTGCGTACCAGTGAACCATCATTGATGATCTGAAAGGGCTGAGGGAGTGGGGTTGGGTCCCCGGGGCTGAGCGGGGGCTCGGCCGCACCCCCAGGTATGTGGACGGCCGAGTGTTTGTCACCGAGGTGCTCCCTGAGAGCCAGGCGGAGGTGGACGAGGTGGTGTTGGCCGGTGACATCCTCGACGAGATCAACGGCTGCTCCCTGAGAAATGCCTACAGCGGGCAGGTGGGTGGGAAGGGAGGGCTGGTGTGTGTCCCCCATCTCCCCCTCTCCTGTCCCCCATCCTCCCCTCTGCCTCCCCCCTCTCCCTCCTGGCTGGAGCCATGCTGCAGAAGCTGAAGGGACAACCGCTGAGCTTCTGCCTGCTGCGGTGGCGCTGGCACGACGGAGGGGTCTACGAGCAGCTGGGGCCCTA